TGACCCCCGACTCGAAACAGGCGGCGCAGAGGTCGTAGTCGAAACATATGAGACATTTATATCGTTTACCCCTGAAGTTGCCCTTAAGGCACGAATCACAGCTCACTCCTGAGGCAGACATACCATCAATTAGATTACAATCAATACAAACAAATTGAGTTCAATTTAAATCGTTATTAAAAACTCATTTCTACTGAAAATCACAACAAATTATGACAACTCTTATGAGTGTTTATTTTGGGCACTATTTTCACGGTAATTCACTTCAAAGCAAAGCCAAACTAATTCAAGTGATTATAAAACAAGTATTGCTTGAAATGACATCAAAGTATTGATTTAAATAATTGTTTCATAAATGTTTTGATTGGAAATTATGTCAAAAAGTATCGGATGTTTGCATTGAATCAGAAAATCAATAGTCATTTAAAATGATACGGAAAATGAGATCAATTTGTTTAGCAATCGATACCCATATTGTCGACAATGACTGCAATGAATACATGAATGAAGTGGACATTGAATCGGATTTAATGACTGGAAAAGGGATTAAAAATGTCGCAAAAGTAATAATCATATGAAATGATAGCCATTTTGTGCCATAAATGCAAACATCACTCAATATATTGAATGCAATGTCTGTTATATAGCACGAAATGTATGTCTCATTGCATTCATTGCACTCATCACCACATCACCAGTGGATCCACTCATCCAACCACTCAGTGGTCACATGCAAGTGAGGTATACCTTCGTGATGAGTCGACATTCATCTAATTGTCCACAACTGGTATCACATTAATTGAATCAATTGAGAGCACAAATGGGTGACAAGTTTTCATGTATTCAATACCAAAGCATCACATATTCAGTACTCAATACATACACCAAATACAGTCTAACCTCTCAATACAGTCCAACCATACAATCCATGCAAACCTATTGCAATAGTATTGCCATACAATCCTATGAACGCATTACATGTACAGCACATCAATGATGTCCACTATTATTGTTTTCACACTCTTTTGACAATNCATCAATGATGTCCACTATTATTGTTTTCACACTCTTTTGACAATTCATTCAAAACTTGTGTCTCATTTGCATTTCATTTACAGATCAGTAGATTATAATATAATCAGTAAATCACTCATTATATGCATTTGATTCATGTTTGATGAGTGAGAGATACCATACATTGTCAGTGAATGGTATTGAAAGTGTTTTCTCTGTCTTTCAAATGAGTGTCTATTCAGAGGATTGAGAGGAGAGAGGGATATAAGAGAGCGATGAGAGAGAGAGAGAGAGAGAGAGAGAGAGACTGTGTGTCCGTGTAATCGGTATTTGCATCAAATGTATTGAGCGTTGACTGCATTGCAAACACTACTCCACTCTCTGTTAGCCTTCAATTCACTTCAATTGATTGCATTTCAAATGTATTTCTAATATAAGTTGTCTGTAGTGAGCCAGTTGAAATCAAAGTTGTCACCAATTCACACATTTCTAACCATACAAGTGATTTTGTGCTCAAATTAGTCAATTGTGAGCACATCCTAAATAATGTCATCCAATTCAAGACGAGTTCTCATATACGGAGGCAAAGGAGCCCTCGGATCTGCTTGTGTCCACTTCTTCAGACAACACAACTGGGTTTGTGTCCATCCATTCAAACCAGTCATTTGATTTGTTTTATAATTTATGCCTATATTTAGTTATATTTCAATGAATCCATTGATTCACTATTTTGTGGCCAACTGTTGAACATGTGTTCAGTTCACAACTGATCAATAGTTTGACAAAAACTTATAGCAATTAATTGCCATTCATTTGAATATTTTGAAAAGCATTTCGATATAATGTAAGATTCATTTGATGTGTTTTTGTTATAAATTAAGTTTTCCTGTACTCGTAATTGCTTTGAAGGTTGACATCAAACATAAATTGTCACAAAAATGCTATTAATTATAATTCAAGTCATATTTTTAAAGATTTGCACACATTTTGAGACATTGAAGTAAATTCTCGATTAAATAACAAATTATACAAAAAAAATTAAATTGAAGATATTAGCAAAATAATTACAGTAAATAATAAATAAAATATTTTTCTGTAAATCTGTAATAGTTTTATCGCTTTTAAAGTGAAAAACTTTAAAAATTCCACAATTTTAGGAAATCTCGGCAAACAAATAAATAATAAATTCATGAAAAACATGTTTTTCGCGTTTTGGGAAAAATAGTTTTACATTCATTTGAAATGTTTTCTAAAAATAATTGTGAAAATAATTGATTCACTTAATGCTTATAATAGACTAAACAATATAAGAGTAATACTATTGAAATGAATGGCAATTAATTGCTATAAGTTTTTGTCAAACTATTGATCAGTTGTGAACACATGTTCAACAGTTGGCCACAAAATAGTGAATCAATGGATTCATTGAAATATAACTAAATATAGGCTTTCAAACGAATGGCAATTAATTGCTATAAGTTTTTGTCAAACTATTGATCAGTTGTGAACACATATTCAACAGTTGGCCACAAAATAGTGAATCAATGGATTCATTGAAATATAACTAAATATAGGCTTAAATTATAAAACAAATCAAATAAATGAATGGATGGACACAAACCCAGTTGTGTTGTCTGAAGAAGTGGACACAAGCAGATCCGAGGGCTCCTTTGCCTCCGTATATGAGAACTCGTCTTGAATTGGATGACATTATTTAGGATGTGTTTAGGATGTGCTCACAATTCACTAATTTGAGCACAAAATCACTTGTATGGTTAGAAATGTGTGAATTGGTGACAACTTTGATTTCAACTGGCTCACTTCAGACAACTTATATTAGAAATACATTTGAAATGCAATCAATTGAAGTGAATTGAAGGCTAACAGAGAGTGGAGTAGTGTTTGCAATGCAGTCAACGCTCAATACATTTCATGCAAATACCGATTACACGGACACACAGTCTCTCTCTCTCTCTCTCTCTCTCTCTCTCTCTCTCATCGCTCTCTTTATATCCCTCTCTCCTCTCAATCCTCTGAATAGACACTCATTTGAAAGACAGTGAAAACAGTTGCCATTCACTGACAATGTGTGGTATATCTCACTCATCAAACATGAATCAAATGCATATAATGAGTGATTTACTGATTATATTATAATCTACTGATCTGTAAATGAAATGCAAATGAGACACAAGTTTTGAATGAATTGTCAAAAGAGTGTGAATTCTCACTCATCAAACATGAATCAAATGCATATAATGAGTGATTTACTGATTATATTATAATCTACTGATCTGTAAATGAAATGCAAATGAGACACAAGTTTTGAATGAATTGTCAAAAGAGTGTGAAAACAATAATAGTGGACATCATTGATGTGCTGTACATGTAATGCGTTCATAGGATTGTATGGCAATACTATTGCAATAGGTTTGCATGGATTGTATGGTTGGACTGTATCGAGAGGTTAGACTGTATTTGGTGTATGTATTGAGTACTGAATATGTGATGCTTTGGTATTGAATACATGAAAACTTGTCACCCATTTGTGCTCTCAATTGATTGAATTAATGTGATACCAGTTGTGGACAATTAGATGAATGTCGACTCATCACGAAGGTATGCCTCACATGCATGTGACCACTGAGTGGTCGGATGAGTGGATCCACTGGTGATGTGGTGATGAGTGCAATGAATGCAATGAGACATACATTGAGTGCATTGCTATATAACAGACATTGCATTCAATATATTGAGTGATGTTTGCATTTATGGCACAAAATGGCTATCATTTCATATGATTATTACTTTTGCTTTATTTTTAATCCCTTTTCCAGTCATTAAATCGGATTCAATGTCCACTTCATTCATGTATTGATTGCAGTCATTGTCGACAATATGGGTATCGATTGCTAAACAAATTGATCTCATTTTCCATATCATTTCAAATGACTATTGATTTTCTGATTCAATGCAAACATCCGATACTTTTTGACATAATTTCCAATCAAAACATTTATGAAACAATTATTTAAATGAATACTTTAATGTGATTTGAAGCAATACTTGTTTAATAATCACTTGAATTAGTTTGGCTTTCCTTTGAAGTGAATTGCCGTGAAAATAGTGCCCAAAATAAACACTCATAAGAGTTGTCATTATTTGTTGTGATTTTCAGTAGAAATGAGTTTTTAATTACCATTTAAATTGAACTCAATTTGTTTGTCTTGAATGTAATCTAATCGATGGTATGTCTGCCTCAGGAGTGAGCTGTGATTCGTGCCTTAAGGGCAACTTCAGGGGTAAACGATATAAATGTCTCATATGTTTCGACTACGACCTCTGCGCCGCCTGTTTCGAGTCGGGGGTCACATCCACCAGACATACGACCGATCATCCCATGCAATGCATACTTACCAGAAGTGATTTCGGTATGTCTTACCACTTGATCCATACCTTGCCGTACCTTACACTCGCACTAACCACCCCTTTGCCAACAGACATATACTATGGCGGAGAAGCGGTGTCTGTGGAACAGCCACAGGCCTACACCTGTCCCTTCTGTTCACGAATGGGATTCACTGAAGCGACTCTTCAGGAACACGTGACTTCAGAACACGCCGACTCATCCACTGAAGTGGTCAGATATGACACCCATTTATTTGATTACCATTTTATGTCTAACTGTCGTTTGTATGGATATATACGCGAAGGTGTGTCCCGTGTGTGCAGCCCTTCCCGGCGGTGAAGCAAATCACGTGACCGACGATTTCGCAACACATCTGACACTAGAACACAGGAGTCCTCGGGAATTGATATCCTTTTCACCCGATATTAGTAGAGATAATGATATAAATAGCAATAATTTGACTGATTTTTCCTTAACTCGTATTTGTGTCGATGCTTACGAAGAGCCGCAGACGGCTATTAGGGGTCGAAGAGCACCGCATCCGACACGAGGACTCAATAGTGTCAGAGCGCGTCGATCGCAGATGCAGTTCAGTTCAAACTCTGGTTTGTCGTCATTGTCTCCGAACAATAGGGATTCAATGGATCCGATCGCCGAACTGCTGTCCCAGTTGTCTGGTGTGCGTCGAGCGGCCAATTTGGGCCAATCGCACGCAACGCCTCAATTACAACAGTTGCAAATGCAGTTACAGTTAGACAGGAGTTCCTCCACGCCTTTGAGACAACCCTTCGATAGGGCGCCCATCGAGCGAGTGATTCGTCGCCATCAGCAGCAGTCATCTCAACAACAACTGCAGTCAAACTCTTCTCACTCGACGGTTAATGGAACTCAACAGCAATTGCCTTATGTTGTGCTAATGGAGCCCAATCCTAGTCCCGCCACCTTAGCCGCGGCCGCCGCTGCTGTCACTCAGACTACTAATAGTACCGGTAATCAAAATACGACGACTAGTATAGCCTCTGCGCCTAAAAGCGCCAACTCTTCACAGTTTCTACTTTCGAGGTATTTATCAAATGAAACGATGAGTGAGTTGTTGTCAGTACTAATGGTGTGATTGATGTGATGTTAGGTGTAATGAAGTGGTCTTCTCTGACGCGGAACAGCAACACATTGAAGTGCAAAGAGTAGACCGAAGTCTCTTCGTTCAGGAGCTCTTACTTACGACACTAACCGAGTCTCTAAACTTAGAAGAGAGACATTCAAACTCTAGTTCTGATGTACAGTCTTATGAACAGTATGTGAACCACACATACCAGTGCTCTAACGAAGAGAACAGCGACGAAAAGCTAGTGTTTGGCGCAGAGAATGAGAATCATTCAAATGCCAACTACAATGAAAACGAAAACGATAGGCCGACGGCTTTACCCCTGTATAACAGCGCCAAACAACACACAAACCCTAACCAACCCTTTCAACCACAGCAACACTTACAACAACCTCTTCTGCACCGAAGACAGCAAAACAAGTCGAGGCAGACGTCAGGCTCTCGAGTCAACAGTACGGCCGGCGCTGTTGCCAACAGTAACTCCACTAGAAATGTGAACAGAACTGGTGGCACATCTCCTAACGCCTCCACTCGTAGGAAAATATTGAGAGGACAGCCATCAGAACCGCCGCCACATTAGCCGACAATTAGGCTCTGTCTGCGCTCAACAGAAATCATAAGTTTTGGTCAAATATTATTATTATATTCTAATAAATTCTATTAAAAAGCAAACTCTGCGCCCGTTTTGTATATAATTAATAAATAATAACTGTATTAATCGGTGATTCGATACATATTTCAGAAATATTGCTGTTATTAAAGAGACGGAAAGGCTTTCTATTTATCAAAACCAGGGTTTTATTCTCGTCGTCTTAACTATAAATGTATTGTAATATAAAACCAAAATATTTGAAAAATAATACAATTAATGCCGAAATACATTTTGGTTGTTATTAACTCATTACTGAATTGAATTAACTCTTAAAACAAATACCGCACCCAAAGCCTAAACCAATTGATTGAATGAATTTAAGGATCAATACTTTGACTTCAAACTAAATTATCGCTCAAACCATTTGATTAACACATCATTCAAACGAATAATTGAGAGAAAACCCAATAATTTTAGACTTAATATCAAAGGATTGAAATTATTTTATTTATTATTTTCAAAATACGATTCATTTAAACAAATTGTTAAAGTTTTTAAAGAAAAAGTAAATATATAGCAATTAATCAAATGATTGATATTAGCTTATAATATGAAAATTTACCCAAAAATTATAAATTATTATAAATTTGTAAATAAAATTAATATCGTTTTGTCGATACATTTACTATAGTTCTCAAAATCATAAGTGATTTGTGGATCTGTGGGCAAAGCAAACAAGAAATTAAGTTAAAATCAATGATAGATTACAAGACATAAGACATACGTCATTGCACTCCAAGTCAGATGCCTTTGCGACAAATGAGTTGATTTCACAGCTCAAAGTGCTTAGGATTTGTGATATTGTTTCCTTTGATATTAGCATATAATACAATCATTAATATGAGAATTGACAGTACATTCAAATGTGATTAATTCAAACATTTCACTCACTTTATAGACGACCAAATCGTTGGGAAATTCCATAGATTGTGAAATGAGTTGAATTATTACATAAATGTCTTCATTCTTGAGTTGTTTCCAATGGACACGACTTAATATGATCTGAATTGAAGTCAAACTAAAGTCATTTTCGCAATCATCTAACTTTTGGTTCACAAGTGATTGAATCATAAAAATACAGAATTTTCGCTTCAATCCAAAGTCTGTATTCATTGGAAACAATGAGACGATTCTTAAACACGAGTCACTATTTTGGCAATTTTTAGTACAAAAGGCACTCAAACTCTCGACAATGAAATTGCTATTCAAATCGTTAATACAAATATGTATTAACAAAACGGATATCAATTCTTTCAAATTGATAATCCAATCGGAATTCAAGGCGAGTCTACATTCGAGTGACAAACAAAAGATAATCACCAAAAGTTGGATCAGTTCTTCTTCGGTGTCGATGTCCTCTAGTTTAAGCGAACTGTTGTTCAATATTCTGGTCATCAATTTGATGGCATTCGACAAAGTCTTCAACTCTTTATTAGTCAGTTGTCTCCGAACTCTATTCTCGTCACCATTTTGTTCATCACTTATTGCTCTCAAATCTGATGATATTCTGCTCAATATCTGATAGAAATCTCTGAGAATTACAGACAAATAACTTTCAAAACTATTGTCCAATAAATGATTAATTTTGTAGTCTATCTGAAGATCACTTATGTCGGAGTCATGCGAACAAAACAACTGAAAAACATGTGTCACAAGTGATTGACGTTCACTGTCTTGCAGTGTATCCAAAAGTATTGGCAATAAATTAATTAAACGATTGAGTGGTAAATGTTTGACATTAAGTGGGAAACCATCACATGTTTGTTCACTTAAATATCTCTTTGGAATCGCTTCAGGAATATATTCACACAAAATGTCGATACCCTCCGGAGGTTTGACGCAATCATCCAAACGATTGTCTTTTTGCGGACTTTCCATCACTTCTGCAAACTGTTTGTCTATTTCATCGACGGCTTGAATGTCAAGCATTTCCTTATCTCTTTGAAGTCGAGAGAAGTTCTTCAAAATATAATTCATTTTCTTTTGCCTCTCTTTGTCCACATATTTGCCATAATTCTCTTTGCAGACATTCTCGCACTTTTGGTCCACAACTTCCAGTCTTTTAAAAACAGGGATCAACTCGTCGTCCGAATCGCCATCACATCCCGTCGTTGTGTTATCTTTGCGTTCGTTTAATATCTGTGTCTTCTCTGAAGTCTTTTTCTGCGAACACTTCTTTGAGTTAGACTTTTGCGAAGCTTTACTGTTATCTTCTGTCAGATTATTGTCCACAGAATTAGACATTTGTTCACAACTTTCATCTAATTGTTGCAACTCTTGTGCCGTCACGTAATGAGTGTCGTCATCGGCGGTGATATCTATCAGTTCATCGCACGTCTTGTAGAGCGAGTCGTTTGGAAGCGATTCGTCCATTATTTTGACTTTTTTGGTTGTTTTGGTGGCATTTGCCGGGGAATGCCTTTTCTGAGCACCAAATATGGGACTTATAGTCAACTCTTTAGATCTCTTAGATCTTCTCGTAGTCCTTGTATTTGTTTCAATGGATTCCGGTTTGGTTCGCGCCATCGGTTCAACCCTAAGATGTCTGTTCCGCAGACTCGACACAATTGTCTCATTCTTGACGATGGGTTGGGAAGCGAGGGGTCTGAAGAACTCACTGATTGTCATTTGTCTCATGGACTCAGATATGGGTGACTTCGGCAGTGGCTTTGCATTCCGTTTGCTTGGCGTCCGTTTGGGGGTTGTATTAGTCGCTGAAGACTTCTTCGGAGTCGCTTTCGATGCCTTCTTAGGCGTCGATCTCGTCGACCGCTTCTTCGGTGTCGTCCTATTCATGACCAAATGCTCAAGAATTCACTCTTGGGATCAAATCAATGCAAACAAAGTGTGGCTTCAAATGGAAACACAATTGAAAGAAAAATTCATTGAAAACTGAATTATGTTTTGAAAAGTTATTCACAAATAAATGATTCACTCATTTCTCGCTCGCATTTGTATATAATTAACATTCAATTCATGCGAAATATAATATAGTTTTCATCACTAATTAACTAAAATTCAATTTCCTTATGAATCTAAATATAATTAAAATATTTGTAAAATTAATATAATTTTCTAAAACATATGTCAAATTAAATTGATTTTATTGTAATAAAAGTGTGCTTCACGTGCTGTTCATAATAGACATGCGATGAATGCATGTTTAGCGCCCCCTTTACACCATATCCCATATGTTTCAATACAACTCCACCTCTAATCAAACGGTAACACTATTAGTGAGCATTTGTTGCATTGATTTGCCGCCAAAACAGTGAACACATTATATTATAACCGAAATTGTGGTCATTTGGTGATAATTAGGTGACAATTGGTGTCCGCAATGCACATAAAGTCCATAATCTTGGATGGATTCAAGTCGTACGGGACGGAGACGAAGATCGACGGCTTTGACAATCTGTTTAACGCGATCACAGGTCTGAACGGGTCCGGGAAGTCCAACATCTTGGATGCCATCTGTTTTGTGCTGGGATTGAGTCGTATGGATATCGCGCGATGTAATAACCTTCGGGAACTGATCTACAAGAATGGACAGACGGGTGTCACCAAAGCCAGTGTCACCATTCACTTCGACAACAAAGACAAGAGACAGTGTCCGGCCGGTTATGACAACTACGACGAGATTGTCATCAGACGTGAGGTTTGTATTGAATGACAGTATTGCCGATCAATGGCTACAATGTGTCCGCACTTCAGGTGAATATCAACAGTCGCTCCAAGTATTGGATCAATGGTTTCGGATCTAACAACCAAAGTGTGACCGATTTGTTTCACTCGGTGTCTCTGAACATACAAAACCCACACTTCCTTATAATGCAGGGAAGGATCACCAAAGTGTTGAATATGAAACCTCATGAGGTAAGCATGCAATGGTCATCGAGTGATCATCAAGTGATCATCGAGTGGTCATCGAGTCATTTCATGTCTTATTCATTCCGCTATCAATAGATCCTATCGATGGTCGAGGAGGCGACCGGAGTGTCGATGTATGAGATGAAGAAGAAGTCGACGCAATCCATGATCGAGAAGAAGGATTCCGCTCTTCGACTCATTGATGCTCCAAGTATTGGATCAATGGTTTCGGATCTAACAACCAAAGTGTGACCGATTTGTTTCACTCGGTGTCTCTGAACATACAAAACCCACACTTCCTTATAATGCAGGGAAGGATCACCAAAGTGTTAAATATGAAACCTCATGAGGTATGCATGCAGTGGTCATCAAGTGGTCATCGAGTCATTTCATGTCTCATTCATTCCGCTATCAATAGATCCTATCGATGGTCGAGGAGGCGACCGGAGTGTCGATGTATGAGATGAAGAAGAAGTCGACGCAATCCATGATCGAGAAGAAGGATTCCGCTCTTCGACTCATTGACGCTCTCATTAATGAGACAATTGTTCCCAAATTGGATCAATTGAAGAAAGAACAGTCGGGTCTCATGGAGTTCCAGAAGATTAGCGCCGAATTGGAATCTCTGTCCAAAGTTTTCATTGCCTTTAAATTCGTGGCCGAAGAGGAGAACTGTTTGAAAGCTTCGGCTAATATTGAGGAGAAGAACAATGATATCAATGGTCACCGAAAGCTCATCTCAGACGCCAATATGAGAGCCAATGAAATCGAAAACAGTATAAAAACTCTGGAAAAGAAAAAAGACGAAGAATTTGGCGGAAAATTAAGTGAATTGGAGACTCAGCTGAAGAGCGAGCAGTTGTCTGAAGCGAAACTCATCGGAGAAATGAATATTTCGAAGGAAGAGCTCAAAGAGAAGGAGAAGAAAGAGATGCAGTTCTGTAAGAATCTTGAGGGCGACCGCAGGATAACGGCTTCCAAACAGAAACAGTTTGATTCGCTGAACGAGAAACTGGAACGACTCAGAGCTGACAATGACATCAAAGAGGAAAACCTGAAAAAGGCTGAGAAAGACTTCGAGGATATCAGCGCCGGTAAGTCACGCGCTAAAGAGGGTGAGGCGGCCGCCACTCTCGCCGACCAACTCATGACCGCCGAGAAAGAGATCGCGACCGCAGAGACGGACATAAAAAAGGCTGAAATGAAAATAAAACACTCGAAGACTGAGTTAAATAAAAAGGAAACGGAAGTAAAGAAAACGAAGAATACTTACGATAAAGATATGAAAGAAATAAATTCAATGAACAGTGAAGTGGAGAAACTTAGAGCACAACTCGAGGGCTTTGGTTTCGACGAACAAAGACACGTGAATTTGAGGTCAGAATTGGGTCAACAGAAGCGACAAATCGATAGACTGTCGGACGAGATCAGGAGCGCTGAGTCGAGCCTCTCGAGGACGAGGTTTGACTTTAAGGACCCGCAGCCCAACTTTGACCGGAGTTCTGTTATGGGCGTCGTTTGCAATCTGTTTCGCGTCAAAGATATTAACTTTGCGTTGGCTTTAGAGAAGTCCGCGGGAGGAAAGTTGTATAATGTTGTGGTGAGAGACGGACAGACAGCCAAAGCTATCCTGGATAGGGGACAGTTGAGGGACAGGTGGACATTCATACCTCTCGACAGAATCAAAGCCCAAAATTCAGACCAAAGAGCTCTGAAGAGGGCACAGGAGATCGTGGGCCGTGAGAACGTGGACTATGCCATCAATTTCATTGAATACGAGCCCCATTTGGCTAATGCCATGAAATATGTCTTCAATGATATTCTGATTGTCCCGGACATGGAAATCGCCAAAAAAGTGGTTTACGATCCGGAAGTTCGTAAAACTACAGTCACTTATGACGGAGAAGTGTTTGAACCGTCGGGTATTCTGTCGGGCGGTTCCGCACAGAGAGGAACTCAACTCTTGGCGAAAGTGGCGGAGATTTTAGACAAAAAGAGAACTTTAGAGGAATTGAGTCATTCTTTTGGTGAAATGGAGACAGAATTCAGAGATTTAGACAAACACTCTAAGAATTACACGACTATTAAGCAAAACTATGACTTGAAAGCTCGAGAGGCAGAGCTGGTCCGACAGCGCCTACAACAGGGAAACAGCGCTCATATTCTGATGGAAGAGATCGAAGCCCTGAAACTCACGCTTCAGACCGAAGATAAGATTCTTAAGGATTGCGCGGAGATTAAGAAGAATTCGACGAAACGTGTGAATGAGTTGAATGAGAAGCTGAAGGACTCGAAATCGATTCGCGAGAGAGAACACAAAGAGGCCGAACAGAACCTGAAGAGCGCCAGAACTCAGGCCGAAAAGTCACGCAAATTGATGGCTGAAGACCAACAGAAAGTCGATTGTCTTCAGCTCGAGATCGAAGAGTTGAGTAAACAAATGAATTCATGTGAACAACAACTCAATCAATTCAAAACAGAAATCACTGAAAAGCGTTCAGAAATGGAGACAATTGAAGGGAAAGTGAATGCAGTGAAGGAAAAGGTGGGGAAATGGATGGCAGACCTAAAGGAACACAAAAGGATTCTAAAGACACATTCGGACGAAATGTCGAAAATGCAGAGACAAAGGGATTCCGTCCTAAAGAGTATCGAAGAAAATGAGATAAAAATAAAACAAATTAATTACGACATCGAGAAAATCAAAACTTCTTCACACGATTCAGCAGTTCATGTGAAACAGATGAAGAGGAAGTACCCGTGGATTGAAGAGGAAAAGCATTTGTTTGGCAATGAGAGCACTGGCTATAGCTTTAATGACTTCAATACGGATGAGTCGACGCGACGGTTAGATCGGCTGAAGTCAACGAAAGCCTCGTTGGCGAAGACGGTTAACATGAGAGCAAACATTATGTTAAGCGATAAGGAGAAGGAGTCCGAAGAGTTGACTCGAAAGCGTCGGATTGTGGCCACAGATAAGAATAATTTGATTACTTATATGCAAGAAGTGGACCAAAAGAAAAAGGATGAGCTCTTCAAGGCGTGGCAGAAGATTAACGTGGATTTCGGCGCTATTTTCTCCACATTTCTGCCCAATTCTAACGCAAAACTAGAGGCGCCTGAAGGCAAGAGTGTGACCGACGGACTGGAGGTTAAGGTGGCGTTTGGTGACGTCTGGAAGGACTCATTGACAGAACTGAGTGGAGGGCAGCGATCACTTGTGGCGCTGTCTTTGATTCTGGCGCTCCTGAAGTACAATCCGGCGCCGCTCTACATCCTCGATGAAGTGGACGCAGCTCTGGACCAAAGCCACACACAGAACACCGGAATTATGATTAGAAATCATTTCCGCAATTCTCAGGTTTGCTGTCATTTGCTTTTGCAATCATATCCTTTCATTCATTGATTACTTTGATTTCAGTTTATAATCGTTTCCTTGAAAGACGATATGTTTAATAACGCGAACGTTCTCTTCAAGACTCGGTTTGTCGACGGAACCTCTCAAGTGACTCGTGTCCAGAGTCATCACCAGAGGAATAAGTGATAACCTTTTGGATGATAACATTTTCTAATTGATTTCATTTGTAATTTTCATAATTTTTGATACCGTAATGTAAAAATGTTTCACTTTATTCTTTTCTAGTTAATAAACATGTAATTTATTCATTCAAATAAATACTAAGTTTTGATTTTTAATTTCATAATTATTGATCACTCCTGACGTTTAGGACCGAATATTTTATTGAATCAACACTATTAATATGGTTTTTATTGAATCAGTCATGAATAGTCTAAAATTTACTGTACATTGCAGACAATTGAGTCTTTCAAACATTATTTTACAAATTTTAAACATTTTCCATTGAAATTCAAATGCTTTACCTAGAAATGAAATGCAATATATCAATTATTGGATAACTATTCATACAGTATTGTAAAGCTAGTTATATAATGATTATACGATATATTGTAATTTATAACTTTTATGTTAAGAATATAGAGTAAAGAATTGTATGTTATTTGAAAACAGGAATAATACAGTAGTGTGTGTTTAGTGAAGCATTCACTGTAAGCGCTATCTCTGTATTCCTGATAAACAAGTTTTATTTAAAGGCTTTTTGTTTGGTTTTTAATAATCAAAAACTGCAAAATTGATTAAAATATTAATTTTGGAGTTAACAGAGAGTAAGTGTTGTAAAAGTAATCACTGATTGCAGCCAACAATCAAACAGTCACTCAATTACAGTGAAAAGTAACCCTTAAATGAGATTCAGTTTACGTGTAATCCAGACATTAGTTGAGTTGAAATCACATCAATCACTACTACTTCACCGCAAATATAATCATTTGTTTGCATTCAAAGCAATCCATCGCACGATCAATACATCAGTGAAGACATCATCACAAATGGGGGTCTGTTTCACATATATCTGCCAATTGTATGCCATTTAAGACAATAGTAACCATTTGATTGTCTCCTTAGAAGAAAGCCATTCTTTTGGGCGTTTATGAGAGAAGTGATGACAAAGAGAGTTATGTCTTCACAGAAAACGCCACCAAATTTGATGAGACAATTGATGGCAAACTCACGAATGCCATCAATATGTAAAGACTACTCATTTGAAAGGTTTTTGCATTTGTTTAACACTTGTGTTGTGTTTGACCACAGAATCGGACCCTTGAAGAAGAGTAAGTGTCGAGTCTTTTATGGGTTGAGTCCATCGCATCCAGTGGTGGCTGTCGTGGGTTTGGGTCCAAACAATGCCGGCTATAATGACGCCGAAGAGCTCGATGAGGACAGAGAGAACATCCGCACTGCCATTGCAGTCGGCGCCCGAACTCTCAGAGATATCGGATCTATTGATGAGATAGATGTGGATGACTGTGGCGATGGTGTGGCGGCTGCTGAGGGCAGTCATCTGATTCTCTACAACTATGACGAACTGAAAGGCGATTCTCTGAAGAAACCGAACATTAAATTAAATCATTTGAACGCTTCCAAGAACTCGGAGGCAGAGCTCAAGTGGAACTACGGTCAGAGTCTGGCCGTCGGACAGAACTTTACCCGAAAACTGATGGAAACGCCGGCGAATCTCATGACTCCCACAAGATTTGCAAACATTGCTGTCGAGCAGTTGACTAAATTGTATTATTCTTTGCCTTTAATGTATTCTTTGTCTCAATTTTTATCCTCTCATTTGATGGCAGAGGTGTTGAGGTTCACGTGCGGGACAGGGCTTGGGCTGAGGCCATGAAAATGGGATCCTTTCTGAGTGTCACTAATGGTTCAGAACAACCGCCGGTCTTTTTGGAGGTATTTTATTACAAATGGTTTCTCAGACACCAAACTAACTGATCCGCGTTTTCAGGTTCATTATAACAACGCCCCGAACACTAAGCCTTTGGTATTTGTGGGCAAAGGTATCACTTTCGACAGCGGAGGCATCTCATTGAAGCCATCCCTCAACATGGATAAAATGAGGGCCGATATGGGCGGTGCAGCCAATGTCATCGGCGCCATCCATACCCTGGCCGCCACCAAAGCTGCCGTTAATATAATCGGCAAGTCTTGCGTTCAATTCAATTCTGTCTTATATTTCATTCAATGAATACTCAATCACTAGGTCTGACACCTCTGTGTGAAAACCTTCCGAGTGGTACGGCTACCAAACCTGGAGATGTGGTGTTCGCTATGAACGGCAAAAGCATTCAAGTGGACAATACAGACGCCGAGGGAAGACTGGTGTTGGCGGACGCCCTTTGTTACGCACATAAGTTTGATCCGCAGCTTATCGTCGATATGGCAACACTTACCGGTGCCATGAGAGTGGCGTTGGGAGCGGCAGCTGTGGGCGTCTTCTCGACGACCACTAAACACTGGAATCTGTTGCAGAAGTGTGGCGTTCAGACGGGCGACCGGGTCTGGAGATTGCCTTTGTTCACTCACTTCACCAAACAAGTGACTGACAGTCAGTTGGCAGACCTCAATAATATTGGAGGCGCCGGATCCGGAGGGGCCTGTATTGCTGCCGCTTTCCTCAAGGAGTTCGTCACTCATCCAAATTGGATGCATTTAGACATCGCTGGTGTTATGGACAACAAAGACGAGGTGCCGTATTTGGGGAAAGGGATGGCCGGCCGCCCAATGAGGACTTTAGTGTATTTCGCGAAAGCGTTATTTAGCAATGAATTGAATGATTAATTGAATGCATTTTTATTCACTGCTGTATTTTCAAAGGATTTAAAACTACTATTTCTTCCAAAATTAATTTGTATTCAATTTTATTAAAAAATGATTTTTCAATAAATGATTGATATTTGAAAAGTGTTTGCGTCTTAACGTCTCGGATCAGGTAATCCAATATTAGATGTCGTTCTCTCCAAGTAAGCCAAAGGCCCCTGAAGTCCAACCGGATGTGACTGCTGTGGCATAAATTGTTGACCCATTGGTTGACCAGTTTGTTGGGTCGGCATCTGACCCATCATTGGTCCCATGTTTGTGGGCTGACCGCTGGCCATACCTGTCTGTGGGGGAGGGGGAGGAAGCATCCCAACGGGTCCTGGCATTGGACCTGAAGATATCATCTGTGGCGGAGTCATTGGTCCAGACATTTGTGGACCCATTGAAGGTCTCATCAAATGCGGTCCATTGCCAGCAGCCACTGGACTCTGAACGGCATGTCTGAGTGGTGGCTGAGATTGCGATGGTTGGCCACTCATCGGTGTTTGCGGTGCAGTCATCGACTGGTTCAGAGATGTCTGTCTCTGAAGATGATGACTGCCATCACTATTAGCCACCGTTTCATTGATCATAGACTGCCACAGCTGTAACTTATCGTAATATTTGGTCAAAATCTGGTCTTTTCTTGCGATTTCATTCTTCAATTCACTGCAATCTTCTGATAAAATAAGTTCTGGTTTTTGATCCGAAAGTAAGAGTCTTTTCTGAAGGAAGAAGCACTCGATTTGTCGACCGATGTCTAGAAATCGTTGAATAGTTTGCTCGACACTAGTCTTCACTTCGTCGGAGTCGTGGATGTGAACCGTCGATGGGTTTGTCAACGCAGACAGACATGACTTTACAGACAATACAATTGGATTAAAGTCTCAAATTGGGATTCACTTCAAGAACCTCACCTGAAATGCATTCTCAAACTCATCGACCAATGAATTATTACTGTTATTATTATTAGCCGTCATTTCCTCATTAAATGTCTTCACAATTAGCGTCAAAATGTGTCACAATTAACACAATTAACCGACAATTTATGAGTCGTTTGTCTTTATTATTCACCACAAGAGTGAAGGCATTCACTGTTGAGATAACCCCTCGTCATAGGCATCACATGACTGCTCGAGAAGGGGCTGTCGGTTACCACAAGAAGACTTGTTTTTTTGCTTATTTCTCTCCCGTCGTAACCATTACCACAATCATTGACACTATTATGGCTTCATTGTAGGCCACAAAGTAATCATAAGCCAAGACATGCCATCATTTCAACTCTTTATAGCATTGAAACAATTTCTAAGTTTTCACTTAAGTTTGAAACTCAAGTCAAAGTGAGTGCAGAAATAAAGAGCTTTTAGTGTTCAACATATAGGGGACCGTTTGGGCACTGATTCACGCATTGATAACTTGTATGGACACCGATTTGGTGGTCAATGTGACTATGGATTAGTAGCTCAATGATAACATTTAGTGATTAATTAGTGGTATGGTATGAGTGAGTGATGAGTGAAATGTATGAAATGCAATCACAAAGAGACGATTCAATCGTACGAGTGATAAGTGTTTGTGAGTGAGGGGTGAGAGATATGTGTGCAAACCCTATAGCCATGAATAGACTGGTCGGTAGTGTTGACTGTATTGTAGTGACTGTATGTATAGCTATATGCAGTGCTATTCATGTATTGACTGTATGTTTGAATTGAGAGTAAAAACAAATTTGAAAATAACATCAAAGAAAGACTGAGAAGTGATTGTAGTTTAAGACTTACCACTCATTTAAAGCGATATATGAGTAGATAATCGTTATATTTTACTATTATAAGAGACCATTAGTTGATGTCTAACTGTTAGACCAGTTGTCAAGTGATAGCAATCTGAAGATATAATAGAAATAATCGCAACAAATGGCAAATAATCCCAAATTAATAGTCATTTCCAATGGAGTGAACCATTCGGTGCCATCACTTCCAGACTCACCACCGATTGATGGCAACCATCACTCCAATGGAGACATTGTCCTCAACGGTGACCACGAGTTCGATGATATGCAGCGCACACCACAAGACGATCGCATCAAACGACGAGCTAAGAGGCCATCGAAGTCGGTCTTCTTCACCAATGGATCCATGAATGGCATGAATGGGTCGGATGAAGAGCATCCAGTGATCAAAGGTACAGGGTCACTCGACTCATACCTGGATCCGCTCGTCCCTAAGCCTACCAACGGAGCCATGTCAAAAAGCTTACCAAAAATAGTCGTCGATCTCGAGGAAGGTTCGGAAGAGGACTCCCAAAGAAGGGTATGTCATGTCATGTCATGTCTCGTCACCTCTTAATTATCACCGAATATCATATGTTTGTGTCTATCAATGCAAGCAATGGTCTCTCAAATGAGTTTGTTTTCAATGTTAGCCCAAATGAAAGTGTTGTGTAAAGTGTGTGAACATTGAGTGTGTGTTTGAGTGATAATTATGGCCACAATTGTGGTGACAATTCGTGACCAATTGGTGTCATATATGAGACAATATGTGATATAACGGCTTCAGTAAACTAAAGCTAAAAAAAGAAAAGTATTTTCGATAGCAATAGTGCTTTAATATCGATGTGAATGCTATATCGTAGGCACTGGTAGTCTGGCATAGCATAGGCAAGCATAGCATAGCATAGCCTCTGCACTGGTATATCGATAGTCATTTAAATGGTATGAATAGAGTTGCGTTGAGTGTATGCTTTGCCACCACTTCTATCCCTTCTGTGGCACCAAAGCGAGCACTGATTGGTTGGTGGCATCTCTTGTGATGCCATTCCTCAGCACTCAGTGGCCAGACATATGTCATGAGCTGTAGTTTCGCGCCCTAAACACCACTCAATATCCGTACAAAATAATGCTTTTTCTCGATAACTCTTTGCATTAGATTTAGCCTGAAATGTGTGTTAAGCTGGAAGGACAGGCTGTTTAAATGATACAGTAGTCGGTAGTCTTAGCTTTGCTTTGTATACGTGACTCCTTCAGCGTTTGTGTCCCATATTTGCAGTTATGATTAAAGCGAAAGTTTTTTAAATTTAATATACTATCGATATATTTGTTTGTTGTGTTTCATAAGCCTTTTTAGCGGCAATTAATGGTGTGTTTGAGCGGAAGCTAATGTATAAGTGTATGAATGCTGTGAATGTGTGTTTCGTTTGGGTCTCGGGCTCCGCTTCAACAGCAAAACAGTGTTGTGTTGTTGTCCTTGAATTCAAGTCAAGTAAATAACTATTGCTTTCCATTGGTTTGGCACTTGTATGCAGCGAAGGGGGAGTGTCTATACCAGGCTTTGGTCCCAGTCCTACCAAAACAAAGGTGACCTTCACATCAATTGACTTGTTTTGTGAATTCATTGAATCGACTCACTCCGAACCATCACTACACTCAGTACTGCCATACCTGCCATCCCTACCAGTCCTACTCCAACACTTGCCTAATATTATGTAACTATCTATTGATTGACGAGAGTCTACGCTAGTGTTGTATTTATAGCATATGAATGATACGAAATAATAAATTAATATTTAATTCAATTCATTTGAAAAGCAAATGCAAAGCCTAATGATATGAAGAGCATTACATAATTTGTCTAATAATCGGCAAACATATAAAAATATAGCAATAATTATGCTGCGATCAGGCCGTGAGTACTTTCGCTTAATTATCATACATACAAACACGTTAGAAATAGTCAGACATGTGTTAGTTATGTCTTTAAGTTTTATATAAAAAATGCTTTTAAATAGCATTTAAAACTCATGTAAAAAACATAGTAAACAAAAGCCCTGCAAATCACAAGACTTGCAAAAAGCAAAAGTCATTGAATTTATTCTCATTCTTGTTTTACATATAAATCTGTGTATTTATATATCCTATAAATCTAGTCATTTGGAAAGCATTCAAAATTACAAAATTTTCAATTAATTGTCGATTTAATTATTGATTTGTTGTGTTATTCAAAATGTTTTATTATTTTGAGCTCACGTTTCGTCAAAAATAAGTTTTAGTTTCCTTTTAATTAGTTTCATAAGAAGTGGAAAACTTTTATATAGTCTTATATTTATTATATAAAAACTTTATTATTATTGTTAACGCTATTTTGAATGTAAAACACATTTATTTTTCTTTGACTTATTATTTTTGCTCACATTTAAGGCAAACATAAACCAATACATAATTTGTCTAATAATCGGCAAACATATAAAAATATAGCAATAATTATGCTGCGATCAGGCCGTGAGTACTTTCGCTTAATTATCATACATACAAACACGTTAGAAATAGTCAGACATGTGTTATGTTATGTCTTTAAGTTTTATATAAAAAATGCTTTTAAATAGCATTTAAAACTCATGTAAAAAACATAGTAAACAAAAGCCCTGCAAATCACAAGACTTTTAAAAAAGCAAAAGTCATTGAATTTATTCTCATTCTTATTATACATATAAATCTGTGTATTTATATATCCTATAAATCTAGTCATTTGGAAAGCATTCAAAATTACAAAATTATCAATTAATTGTCGATTTAATTATTGATTTGTTGTGTTATTCAAAATGTTATTATTTTGAGCTCACGTTTCGTCAAAAATAAGTTTTAGTTTCCTTTTAATTAGTTTCATAAGAAGTGGAAAACCGCTTTAATCGTTTATATAGTCTTATATTTATTATATAAAAACTTTATTATTATTGTTAACGCTATTTTGAATGTAAAACACATTTATTTTTCTTTGACTTATTATTTTTGCTCACATTTAAGGCAAACATAAACCAAGAATTTGTTGATTGTTAGGAATGACCGGTAAATCGATTCAGTTTTTAACTGAACGCTAATTGTGATCACTTTTGTGGAGAAAACGAGTCTTTATAACCGGTTTTCGTTTTCATTCAATAATATTTGAATCTTTAGTTTAGGCGAAAAAAGTCTAATTATTGCAAACATTCATTAATGAATACGAAAACTCCTATTCTTATGCCTTCCCATACCTGTTCCCTCGCCTACACTCAACTCTATTCTATAAAATGTTTTTGTTTTTTATAACGATTCCTATTGTATGCAATGTTTAACGTTTTAAAAGCAGTACTTATTCTCTAAATAATATTTTAAACTTATATAACATTTTGTAATTCTATGTAATAACGACTTTGACTCTTTGGTAACAACAGTACAGTACTTTAAGATATATTATATTACATACAGTGCTCTCATATCTTATCAAATATATTGGGATTATTTTATTGACTCGATTTGTTTTTTGTTTGTTTTCTTGATTTCTAAATACAAAGACTTGCCTTTCGATTGAATTTGGAAATATGTTTACTTTTACCGAATCATTGAAATATTCTTGACTTTTCAATAATCATAATTAATAATATACTTTAGAATACTTCACATTAGATTATTAACAATTTAAAAAACAACAGATATGCTTTCCATAAATAAAACTATGAGATAAGTTAACGATTTACGAGAAAATTGTGTGCAAACATATGATATTTTAACTCACTTTTGTTCAATAATAAGTACAAACACAAAGCCTTTTCTCTATACATTTTGTATGTTTATAAATATATATTAATATTAGATTATGGCATATTGTTACAAAACATCAGATGTGAGCATATAAACACATAAAACAAATGCTATTCTCTATCAATTGTTTTCTAATTGATTAGACTTTATTGCAAAAGACATACAATTTGTTGTTTCCTAACTTATAATAAATATTTTAATATGTTTTGATTAATTATTCTTAATACTCTAAGGCATATACAGTAGTTTTAAATTTTAGGTTTATTAAATTTGTAACTTATTAAATTCAGTTAGAATTCACTAATAAGTAATATTTAAAGTGTTTTATATTTAAAATTCAAAATGTATAATTTAAAATTCATTTATTGCCTAATTTGTCTAGAGATATTATGAATAAATTCTACTAAATGATATTTAAAGCTTGCTAAAATATATTTAAAATTATTTGATTTTTATTCATGATTTCATCCAATTTTCAAAAATAATACTTTTTCCTCAAATGTATTACAAAACGCATTACACAGACTTGGACTTACAAATTTGTGCTGAAAAAGTACACATTGAACACAAAGTCTTACAGTAAAGTAAAATTCAGTGTATTGTGAATCCAATGTCAATCAATAAATGGTATTTTTCCACAATCTTTTGTGTGAACCACCAAACCCTTAGTCCCACTGATTTTGTCGCTCAGAAACACTTCAGGCATTTGTTTTTACGATATCATAAACCTTTTGAATACCTTTTTATTAAATAATTACACAAATAATTTAATTATTGTTTATTATCGTTATCATTTATTCTGTTTTTTCATTTATAAAATTAAATATATATATTTATAGCAATTAAAAACATTTTATCCCCACTTTTCCTTAAGTATTCTAATAAATATACTAATTTGTTAATTTTTTATTTTGAATTAATGTGAAATTATAGTCATTTTTTAAATATTAAGTCATGAATTGTTATGTAATAATTTATACATAATATCTTAAGTCAATTATACCGTACTGTATATACAATTGAACGCCAGGTTTAGCTAATTAATTGAATACATAATGTCTATTAAACAGAGAGTCGATGGGATGTCACGCATCCATATCGAGGTCTGTCTCAACTAAATGTTTATTTAATTTGTTTAATGAAATCTTAACAATAGAGTAATAAGTATGGGGCTACAATTAAATGAATTTGAAAAACAATCTATAAATTTATATACAGTAATATCATTGATTGTGTGTACAGTATAAGAGAATCGATTAATTTGAAAATATTGTTAATATGGGATAAAGTGGGAAAAGTGCATTGATGTGTTTTCATAAACTCGATCTTATATGAGATAACAAACACTTGTTTATGGGTATGATTTTGTTTGCAACACAGTGTTCGTCTCAATAAATGACTTCCTTTAAGACTTTGCCTTAGAATATGTTTTGACTCAATATTTTTTACTTTTGATTTACTTTTGCACACAATTCACTGGAACTTATTTAACATAATTCCTGTTTTTCCACTTATTTGTTGATATCTCTGCTCATTGTATACCCGATTCAATACTATCAATGATAGTCTATCATAGACTGAACCCTTCCTTAGCTTTTCAACAGAATTCTTGTATTCATTTCTGAATTGTTTTTCACGCAATTGTTTATTATTTATATATTTATTTTGTTTTCAATCCCTTATGTATTTTGCATTTTTATTGCGAAAATCTCACAATAACTCAAATGTCATAAATCTTTTATGATATCATTTTTTAAATTATTTGTATTGAAAGGCATAACAGTTTTTCTTATTTCCTATAGTAGTATTGGTTTTCTTATTTAATTTAATGCATAAATAATTAATTTTAATCGACTATTTGTTTGCTAAATATTAATTAATTATTTTCACTGTTTTTAAAAGTCGTTTATATGAACCAAATGCAAAATAAAAGCCACAAATTGTGATGAGTTTTATTGAGTTCACGATTTTATCATATTTTATATGTTTAACACAAGTTTTAACCGCAAAAATACAAACACTTATTTTTTAGCCAAATGTTTGATCAGACGTTTTATTTGCAAATTTATTTTAACTATATTTGGAGTCACTTCAGGATATGTTTTGAAGTTATTTATGACAAAATAATTACTATTATTGTCAAATGCTGTGAATAAAATTTGTTTTGTTTATAAATGAATTTATATTTTACTTTCAATTACAGGACATAGTGTTGAATACTAAATATTTAAGTAAAAATAATCCGTTTTCCGTTTAAGTCTTGGAGAGAAAACAAATAATTTAATGTTTTATTGAATTGTTTTAAATAGAGTATTGTTTATGAATGTATTGTATGACAAGTATAGTACAAACGTGTTATGAATATGTTTTCATTGAAATACATAATAATATAGATTAGGATTGAGTTTTTGGTTTGATTGAGACAATGAACAAAAGTATCGGAAAGACATACATGACTCAGACTATAGGCTAATGTAATACGCAATGGATTTGTTGAGAATATGATAATTATTTCAACATTTGTTTGAATGAATTAATAAGGAAAAAGGTAGGGGTGAGTGAACCCGGAGTAGAATTAACGGGAAAAACGGTTGTCTTAAATAGGTTTCTGGTTTAGTGTTTAGTTTAACTTTACATTCACTTTCATTTCATTCACCAATTTTAAGGACATAACTTTCGTAACTTTCAATTTCAAAACACAAGTCAATGACTGCTTCTCCACTCTCTCATTGACGACATAGTCATACAGTGTATGATTGCAAACCAATAGTCCAATAGCCAACCATACGTTCAATACATAGCCAGTCCTCTCAGCCCCCAGTCCTTGATTTAAGAAAAAAGTGGAGCATTTCATTGTTGTCGCAAAGACTTGTTTCCACCACTTCTGCACAGTTATGCCGACCCATAGCACTGCCACACAAACCATACATTCCCTTCCAATAGCTTGTGATGCAAAGCGCTCTTTAGAAAAGTTTGGAAAAAATCTTTTTCACAAAACTTTTATAAGAATCCATAAGATTTCCTATGATTTCAATGAGACCCAGAGGTGAACGTGTTTTGATGCTCGCATTCATTGTAATTGGATGTGTTTTGTTGCATATTTAGGCGGTGCCGGTGGAAAGGGAACGTGGGGTAGACCTGGAAGTGAGTTGGTTGGAGTGGAGGAGGGGTTGGAAGACCCACACGATCCCAACTATGATTCCGATAGTGCGGTATGTATTGCATTAAATGGTAGATCTATTTGGGGACTGATTTTATAGGGTGTGCTCTTTTGCAGGACGTCTGCAAGTTTGAAGCGATAACTCCTCCGCTCGAAGAGAATGAAATCGAGACCACTTTGACTCCCATTTTGAGCGAATACTTTGAAAATGGAGACACCGATGAAGTGGTGCTTTCTATCGAAGAGATCAATTTGGGAGAGAATTTGCATCAAATTCTTGTGATAGCGGTTACACTTGCGATGGAAAGGAAAGCCTCTAATCGGGAGATGACTTCTGTTCTCATATCTGACTTATACGGACGTGTGGTTCACGAGGAGGACATCGAACGAGGCTTTGATATATTGCTTAATAGTCTTCCGGATCTAGTGTTGGACACACCGAACGCATCGACTGTATTGGGGAACTTCATCGCCCGCGCGGTGGCCGACGATTGCATTCCTCCGAAATTCGTTCAGCGATACAAAGGAGTGGTTGAGTGCTCTCAGGCCCGTCTGGCCATTGAACACGCGGACGTACTCCTCAGTATGAAACATGGCTTGGTCCGACTCGACAACGTCTGGGGTGTCAGCGGCGGCATGAGACCAGTCAAGTACCTCATCAAACAGATCCAATCACTTCTCAAAGAATTTCTATCTTCCGGAGACATTGAAGAGGCCACCCGTTGTCTCCAAGAGCTGGAAGTCCCCCACTTTCATCACGAGTTTGTTTACGAAGCAATCGTTTTGATCATTGAAGACATGGGCGAGAGAGCTATGGATCTCATTTGCGCTCTTCTCAAGTCTCTCTCCTCTTCAGCGATCGTCACTTTGGATCAGTTGAGAAATGTATGCTTTCTTTGAGTTTATTTTGTGTTATATTTATTCATCAATACCTTATGTCTGGTGTTTAGGGCTTTTATCGTGTATTCGAGGAGATGCATGAGATATGCATTGATGTGCCGCACGCCTACACTATTCTCGAGAAGTTTGCACTCAAGTGTCAGAAGGATGAGTTCGTGCCCAACGATGTCCTCAAGAACTTGCCGTCGAGGTATGTGTTCAACGAATGCCAGTATTTAAAGCACGTATTCACGACTGTCTTCATTTGACTTTTAGGGGACGAAAGCGCTTTGTGTCCGAAGGAGACGGCGGACGGGTTAAGGACGACGTCTACTGAGTTTGTGACCAAAAGACAAGACATAATCTATATCTCAAAAAATGCATAAAATTATCTCTTTATATAACTTTTGCCAAATCCTATGATATAATTGTCGTAATTATCCTATAATTTGAAAGCTTTTTTGGGATATATTTCGGTTTTTGTGTTTTTTAATTGATATAATTTTCTTTTTGATTATTTTTCGGTCATTTAATGAAAAAATTCACTTAAAATTAGAAAAACAAAATAAAAAAATCAATTATTATATAAAGCATTAAAAGATGAGATGATGTCTGAATGTAATGAGTGCTCAAAATGACTGCTAATTCGCTGACTTCTGTCGATAAGAGTAGAGAACGGAACGGATAAACGTTTTCGTGAATTTACGGTACAATTCATTTCAATTTGTAATCTTATATATGAGACAAATGTTTGAACATTAGATTTCGATTTAAATTGTATAAAACAACAAATTATAATTAATAAACACATTGTCTTTTTCGATAATGTTGTGGAAAATCAATAAAAACTGTTAAAAGTGTATATTTTATTTGATTCAATCATAAATTGCATTTCTGATGAACAATAAAATTTTAAAATCAAGTTTAATTTAAATGATTTGACAACACAAATGAACCTAAAGGTAAGGCCAGCATTGAAATAACAAATGCTTTCCTATTCAACAACTTTTATATCAATAGTTATAACGAAATTCTGTTAAAATCGAGTCTTATATTATAATTAACATAAATATTGTTTTATTCGCAAAATTCAATATTAATTATAGAAAATCTAATCGATTGCAAGACATTATGCGAGTCCTCTGTTCTTCATCTCCTGGAGAAGGGCTGACCCCATCTGTGCCGGCGATCGCGAGACTGTAACGCCGGCACTCTCTAAGGCGTCGATCTTGGCCTGAGCGCCGCCCTTCCCGCCAGCAATGATGGCTCCCGCGTGACCCATACGACGACCGGGCGGTGCAGTGAGACCAGCAATAAACGAGACGACAGGCTTGGAATTGGGACCCGAATTGTTTTGTGTCAAGTATTCGGCCGCCAATTCCTCAGCATTTCCACCGATTTCTCCGATTAAAATGATTCCTATTTTATAGCAAAACGTTATATTCAACACAATTCACACGATTTGTGTTCAATCTATTGATCGCACCTTTGGTTTCGTTGTCTTTCAAAAAGATTTCGAGACAATCAATAAAATTGGTTCCATTGAAAGGGTCGCCTCCGATGCCGATACATAAGGACTGACCCAAACCCACTTGAGTTGTTTGGTGTACCGCCTCGTAGGTGAGAGTTCCCGAACGGGAGACGATCCCGATCTTGCCCTTGGAGTGTATGTGTCCGGGCATTATACCGATCTTACACTCGCCCGGTTTGATAATACCCGGACAGTTGGGACCAATGAGTCGGCTCTTGCTTTGGTTGATGAGTCTGTTCTTCACTTTAACCATATCTAACTGTGGGATGCCTTCCGTAATGCACACAATCAGAGGTATTTCCGCATCCAATGCTTCGTGTATGGACTTAGCGGCTGCCGGTGGCGGCACATAGATTATGGTCGCGTTCGCGCCCGTCTTGTCCACCGCCTGTTCCCATACAACCAATGGTTAATTATTTCAAACAAACTGAGTATCAATTGTTATCTTTGTGTTCAATTACTCTTCACTTGTTTATCATTTTGTGTCTATTTTTTTATTTTCTGTTCATATCTACTAAATAAACGATTATTTAATCCAAGTTTAAGATTAAACTCTTCTTTTCCTTATGTCATAATCAATGCTTTTGTCATTTAAATGAATTACTCGTAACTAATAAACCGATAAATCCTAAGGAAATCATAAATAATTGTTATAAACTTCGAGACACTTATCGGTCATATAAAGCACTTCTTAGATAACTAATGATAAGCTAAAGACTGTTCAGTCGATAACCGCAACAAAACAACATATTGTTGTGAAGCTATACTGTGTGTGAGGTATGGTTTGGTGGATGTGGTGGTCATCACTGCAATGCCTACCTCTCGGACAGTGTTGAAGACGGGAAGGTTGAGGTGTGTCTGACCCCCTTTGCCGGGTGACACCCCTGCGACCATTCTGGTGCCGTACTCGATGGCCTGTTTCGAGTGGAAAGTGCCCTGCTTACCAGTGATGCCCTGACATATCACTTTCGTCTCACTCCCAATCTTCAGCGCATTTCTGGTCGACGTATAGTTGTGTCGAATGGACGACACGTTTTGCACTAATGAAAGACAAAACAGACAAATGAGTCAATGGTTTGCAGATATAGTCAACACTTGTCAACAGCTAATCAAACCAAAGGTCAAAGTCTTCAACATTTCCTTTGCATTCGGCTTTCAATTAGTATTCAATTCATTGCAAATACATTCAAATGGACACCACATGAGTGACCAACACATGGATCCACTTACCGATCAATTGGTGTCTAAATAGTCGCAAAT